TAGTATTTCCAAAAAATGTATAATTTCTGACGGTTGAATTTCAATCAAATGTAGAATAAGCTTCTCAACACTTTCGCTGTTGCACCGAGAACTTTCTATCTTCTGCCTAATCGATGAAGGCAATACCCCTTTGCTCTCCAGCGGCGATCTAATATACGAGTAGATAAGATTATCTCTGAGAAATACCATGTTTTGAGAGAGAACAATTTTCCAAATTTCACACAAAAATTCAGTCACATCTACCATATCGCCTTAAAAAATAACAAATGAATTTGTGACGTAACTGCCTACCGGTAACACGTTTTTAAAGCTGTCATCCGGAACAGATGCGCCAAGAAATATAGAACACAAATCAATATGCATTGCCGCAGACAGCAGCACTTTGTTATAACCACGTGTAATATCAAATGTTGCATTGCATAATTATACCACTAAGACAACAATTTGTAAAATTTACAATAGCAAAAAAATTTAATAGTGTGAAATACAATCATCTAAAAATTAGAGAATATAATGTATACAATAATAACGTGAACACAGACCATATAATAATGTTACAGGCGTTAGATTCTTGTTGGAATTTCTTTATTTTATTATCAATGTTTCTTTGCTCTTCATTAAACTCACCAATCACTGCAAAACGCTTTGCATTTTGTAGGTAGTCTATAGCTAAATGTTTTTCAGCACTAGTTTCTTGGAATTTTGAATAAGCAAGAAAATAAAACATCTTCCGTCTAACCTCCATTCTTTCCCACATCTCTGGCTTTCTTATCGATTGTAAGCAATGCTTCGCTACACACTTGTCCTCTTGACAAATCTTGGTTTTAAGGAACTCACCTCCTATCATACCGATGCCAAGGAGCAACATTGCCATTTTCAAGACAAGAAATCTTTTGTAGTCCCTACCAGTTTCTTCATTATCATTTTCAAAATGATCAATGGCATGTTTAGCCATTGTTAGAAGTTTATCTTTAAGTTCAGGTGCTGGTCTCCTTTCATATTCCTTAGAGAGCATGTTAAAGTAGATATACAGCACCATACCCGTTTCTCTACAAGTAGGGATAGTATAAGATAATTGTAAAGCTAAATCGAGGTATGTGACGCATATTTCATGTGGATAGCCATTTAGACTTAATGCTGAACCATATCTGGCCAGATAAATCATTGTAGTTTGAGTTGCATTAGCTGTGTGAGGAATAATGTTTATCATTTCTGAAAACCAGTCTCTACAGTATAATTCTGTATCATATTTTATGCGTCTTCTGGCAATATCCGCATCCACGGCAAGGAAATACAAATCAGCGAGGTTTCTCTTCCTATCAGCTGACATGCTACTTATATCATCGGAATGTTCCGCCCACTTAGAAAGTCCCAGGCTCTGGAGTTTTCTGAAATCCTCTTCACGGTTTTGGTGTGACAATCTCATAAGTTTATGCCTGTAAATTTCATTTCGGTTTCGATATGAATCATTAACTTTAAAATTGCTGGCATTTAAAATCCTCTGTTGGCCAAAACATTCACGTTCTTCATCTTTTAAATGGTTGTAAACAAAAACATAGCCATGGTTGGGATTTGAAAGCAAATCCATGAATAGTCCGATTCGATGAGGCGCTCTGTTTGATAAATACAAAAGAAATTTTTCTATCTTCTCCACATTGAATTCACTATTTTCAATCTCATTTTGCACACTTCCGGGAATAATTCCATATGAAATTAGAGGCGCTTTAATATACTTGTACACTAAGGTATCCCGTAAAAAGACTAGATTACGGATCAAAATGTCTCTTCTAATATCACACATATACGCATCCATGTTTACTGCAGCCGCGTAACACGCAGTGATTCATGGGAATAATCAATGGCGTTGCAAATATTCATAACTAGCGTAGAGAAAATATAGCTGGCTTAACGCACTTCTAGATACGATTAAGATTCAGTCTGACATAAAAGTATTAAGCCGTGTTTTAAAACGGTTAAATGAACAAAGGATTTTAACAAAGGATATGATTTATATCAAAGTTTTAACTGCCTATAAAAATAAATTTCCAGAATGTTGTGTATTGTGAAGTATATATATCGATTCAGTGAGTGGGTGAATTAAAAAATAATGACCACCATTTTTTTTAAGAATTCAACTATCCATAACATATTTTTCCACTTATATCATCATATTGTATATGCATTCTAGTTAAAATTCTTGAAGTTGCAATAGAAAATTTGATAAAAAGGATTATGAATTTTTATTAGTAAAACGTTATTTAAAAAATAAAATATCACTACATCCTAATAGACTTTCAAAAATACATAATCAAAAGAAATTATGGTTTTTAATGCTTCAAAATGGTATCAGGGATATAAAAAATTAGATTAAACATTTGATTGAGTTTCTTCTATGTGGAAAAATTGCTGGTATATTTTTTTCAATTTTGATTTGAAAAGTTTTAATATGAAAGAAATATAAAACTATAAAATTCCCCCAAAATCATGCTTTTGTCCATATAAGTCAATTCTTTAAATCTAAGCCAAAAAGAATTTTGATATACAAGATTTTTATATACATGTATTAGATTTTGAAAGGACCCTACTTTATATTATTGTGTTGCACTCCTGACATCTGATATGGATTTTATTTGACATTGTTTTAAAAATGATAACACACAATAATCCATTCTTAGTTTCTAAATCAGTTTATCGTTTTGATATTTTTTATTATTTACGGCAAGTTTTTCATATTTTCGAGACTTCAATACATGATTATTTGCAATGTGTAATATATATATACACTGCATTTAAAATATGCATTAAGTGATGAAAACTATTCTCTGAATTGACTGTAAATTGTCTGTAATAAGTTGAAAGACATAATGTTTTGAACATCAAATTGTATCAAACATTATATTTCAATTTATTTTTTAGTAAAGATAGATGAAGATATTGATAATTATAAAATATTTTTGCTGCACTCCTGACTGCAGTAAAATTTAAAATTAAAAACCATAGAATACAAACATTCATAAAGTTTTGGCAATATAAAGTACGTGGTAACGAAATTATGCAATATTTAGAGTCCAATACTTCATAATTAAAACACATGAAAGTATTTAAACTTGGCTTTATATCTTGAATTATACCCTTTTATGTCAACAAACTAGCTAACATTATATATTTAGAAGATAAAATATATTTTTATAGTGTATTTTCCTTCACAGGACAAAAACTGTAATCAACTGAGGTCAACCAGAAACATTCTACTCATCATTTTTTTTTCTTCATATTTATTCATATTTGATCAGCAATAATTCTAACGTATTTGTTGCACTCCTAACCAAGAGCATGAGAGTCTTTATAGTAGAATTGTGAAGCGAAAATTACATCATAACTTGTTCTGTTGTTTCAGTGAAGCTGAGGGGGAATTTTATAACAATAAAAAAATCAAAGAAAAGATAAAAACACATCTGAATTGTTAAAATTGAAAAAGAGAAGAATTTTCATAAATGTAATGAAATTGTCTTTTCATCATATAACATGAACCTTTAAAAATATAATGCAATCCTGACCATAGAAATAGAGATCAGAAACACAAACAGACCCTGTAATTGATAAATCTATTTGGTAAAAATGTTCTTTGTGTCTTTATTTTCCAAAATAAAAAACACAGAATCATATACTCATAATTTTTTTTCATGCTGGGGAGGAAAACATCAAATGTTGCACTCCTGACATAATTAAGTATGCACAGATACTTGTCTCTCATTAATGCTGCTTGTAATTTATGTAATATTTTAAAGCTTTAAATTGTATATCAGTTATTGTTTTACACTTTGAAAATTCTTTTTTGACTAAATTGTCTTTCAGATTTTTAAAATCAATTTTTTTGGTAACACTACATTTTTTCTGTTGCACTCCTGACATGGTTTAACATTTTTTCAACATCAGCCATGACCACAACTTGGTCAAACAAAAGTTGCTTCAGTCTACATTTAAAGCTTAATACTTTGAATATTATCCGGAAAGGCTATATTTCCAACATAATTATCTATTTCCTAGATCTTCAAAATATATTGAATTTTCAAAATGTCACAAAAAGATGTTGCACTCCTGACATTTTTAGCATCTTTTTGGGCATAACTTTTTTGTGAATTGACATATCAATGAGATATTTGGCAGGTATTTGGATACTATCTAAAGACATATGCTAAGACATAGAAATTTATTCCCATTGTCTGTATTTTTAGTGCAGGTTGATAAATATGTGTTTGGTCATTTTTTTTAATTCATCCAATTCTGTTTGTAGAGGTAGTATTTGCAATGGCAATACCAGGCCATAGAGTTAGTATGGCTGGTACACGCAATATTTGTATGTTGTTCTCCGACTTCCTGTTCCCGTCCCTTTAGAACAATAACTTTCTGTGACACCCTAAACTTATTATACTTAATTATACTTGTTCAACAAATCTAGAGAAGAATATGCAATAAAACTTAATGTAGAAACTTTAAAACAACGATATCAGTTTCTCTGGTTGGAGAACCAACAACAAAGCCAATCAAATTAAAACAAAAATGGGGGAGGGGGGAGGCCACTGAACACACATTAGTATGGAATTTCCAATTATCATTGAATAATACAGTTTTTATTATCATCATTTACTATTCCTTAGTTCTAGAATATCTTAATCTATTCGCACTATTTTCCAGCGTTTTTTTTTTTATTGAATCCAAGACGGATGCAGAATTTACAGTTGCAGAGAATAGGCGCAATGGGATAATAAAGGCAAGAAAAAAACATGAATAAGAAATTGCTTTCTGATTGTTTATCATTTATTAAAAACAACAGTAGTTTTTTTAACTTATTATATTGAGCTCCAGTTTACCAATTTTTAAAAATGAATTTGATTAAAGTATACACATGTACTTGACAGATCTCAATTTGTATAAAAATATGAGTATTTATTTTTAAATAAGTGGGAAGATTAAATGAGTATTTTGTTTTTTCCCTATAAATTATTGGCATGCACTATTAAAATTCTTTCAATATATTTCTAAAATTATTTCACCCATTTCTTTTCTTTATATATTGAAGAAATTTCAAAATGTTCCGTTCTTCGTGACTGAATTTACCTTTCGTACATTGCCTGTATGACTCTTTCACACTAACAAGGGCCAGGTCCCATCTTTGTTCTATTTGGTGAATCCGCGCATGGGCAAAATGATAAATCATTTTCCACCTCACTTCCATTCTACTCCAGTCACGAAGAGCATAGTCTAGGCATGATTTAGCATGTGTTAATTGAGACGTACTCACAGAAACCGGAAGAATATCACAAAATAAACCAATGCTTAAATAAATAAAAGACGTCTTTAGTAGGACTATTCGACGAAAATCAAAATAAACATCGTCTCTTTCTTGTGCAAAGTGATCCAACGATTCTTTAGCCATTTTAATTAGGTTTTCTCTCAGGACCTGATTGAAGGTCAATTCATATTGCTGACTTAAGAGATTGTAATATATTAGTAACACTATTCCGGTTTCTCTGCAGGGTTCTATACGCTCCCCATTTTCTGCTGCTTCTTGAACAGCTTTTAAACCGTCTTCAAGAAGCCTGTTATCAGACATCACCATTGCAGAAGCCAACCTACCAAGATATAACATCAAACTAACTTTTGGGTTAGATGTTTTGTCAATTATGCTTTTCATATCTATTAAGACTTTATCTCCAAATAATGTTTTGTCGTATTCCACACGTCTGTATTCAATTTCAGCATCCAAAGAAATGAAGTACAAATCTGCAACTTTTAGCTTTTCTTCATTCCTGACAGAATTTTCTTCGTTGCTGGCAGAATCTTTCGATAATCTCAACCAGTGTTCCTTTAAAGCATGGCGTTGTTTGTCAAACTCATTCCTTTCCGAATTCAATAATAACCGTTTTAAGAAATGCCGTTTTGCAACCATTTCTTCCCTATTTTCATTGAAAACTTGAATTCGTCTTATTGGACAGTAGGCTTTCTCATACCAAGGAATTTCGCCGGAGGATTTACCTTTTCTTTTGTGCCTTTTAATTTCATCAAGTTTTCCTTCTAATTCTTTAGCAAGAAAAGAATATGCATTTTCTTGTCTTAAAGCCAAAAGAAATACACGAAAAGGACAGTGCTTTTTTAAATCTGAAATAAATTCTCTTAATCTTTCCGTACGCACTCTACTTTTCTTTCTCAGACAAAGAAGGTACTTTTCTGAGACGATTTTCTCCTGAAATAGGTAGTCCTGTAGCTGAGAAGGTTCTATGCATTGTATTATTTTTATATGAAGTTCTTGCATAGCCAGTTGTTCGTCTTTATCCATTTCCAGTCCCTAAAAAGAAGATTCTGCTACAATCAACATTTTCATTAAATACATTTGACTCATTATATTGTTGGGATGTTCTTTTGAGGGATTCTTGGACACATCTTACTCTCGGATTTTTAACCTCATTAATTTAAACTCAAAAGGATGCTCAGATGTTGAGAAATATAGAAGATAATGTAACCACACCAGTGAAAAATAATAAAAAAGAGTCTTTTATAAAGGGACACCTGCCTATAAAATCACGCCCTAACAAACATTTTCAATCTTAAAAATTTTTTTATAAAACTAGAAATTTTACTATATATTGCAAACAATTATTAGTAGCATAAGTCACCCTTAACTTACCCCAACGGTGTAATATCAATACCTCAAGTTTTATGTATAATGTGGCAATAGATACACAGATTTAGGACATGTTACAAGAACTCTTATTAGTAAACTCATGGCAACAGCAAAATTTCTCGCAACTCATTCCATTTTTTGACATGATGCAATAAATAATCATTTTAATTTTCAATGTGGAATGTGCACATCTAAAATTGGTGATTTCCATTTTTATGAAGTTTCATTAAGATTGTACAAACCACCTGCAAGAACATTCGCTGACAAAATTATAAATCTTGTAATAACAATATGTCGCCCCGACTTCGTTGAAAATGAAAATGTTTTCAGTAACAGGAAAAACACCTACATAACCATATACATGGGTGCAGACATTTTGGACACCCAAAGGTGTGCGGAGAAGAAACTTCTACAGGGCATATGATTGGTCATTAAAAGAAAAGACTTGTCATGTATTTGACAAGTCAAATAAAGGTGATAAAAATCTCATATGAAGACTTAGGCTTCTTTTAGATATATAAGAGTTACAGGTAAAAATTTGACGGAAGGGATGCACTTTGGTTAGAGATTTTCATTTGATGCTGAACGCATCTTGTTGGAAACAAATGGAATTTGAAAGTAAAATTGCAGCGGCATGGTATATTTTTTCTGGCATGTTTTGTTTTGCAAGATCTCGAACTTTCACGCCAAGAAAGTCATTTGCCCAAAATTCAATATATGAATCAGTGACAGAGGCTCAACTTTGTATGGAAGTCTATGGGAAAACATTTGGTGGTGTTTGTCCATTAGAGTAGGTATGTATTGCATAGGTAAACATTGATTACAGCCAAAAAATCAATCCATTAATATATTTTTGACATTGGAATTATATTTCAATTAGTTTTTACTATCTGAATAAAAATCAGAGGGTTTAGGTAAACTGGAGCTCCCAATGGGACTCCACATGGTGCAAAAATGCCAAAATTTTGCCCCCTAGCTATCATATTTGCAATGAATGTACATGTGACTAATTTTTATTAAATATTTATGCTGAAATGTATTGGGAATGTTGTTAACAATACAATATTGATATTTATTGGCATCATCAATACGCAAAATAGATGAATATTCCCCTCGCAGTTTGAGAAAGTCATTTAAATCCATATGTTTTATGAGTGCAGACATTGGTTTATGTAGATTGAATAATCACCGTTCAAAATTGGTATTTATTAGAATTAATGGAATAATTCAAAACAATATTTGACTTTTGTTAACTAAAAGTTTACTTACATTTATTTACATAAGGGGCCTCATCCAGCTGTAAAGCAGATTTCAGTCATCTCACCACTGCTAGCTTGAAATAAAAGTTGTGCTTTTGGTGTAACTTAGAGGTTACTAGTAGGATATTTTATTGAATTACTGTACAATATATTGCAACAGAAAATACATTGCAAATGCAAGAAATGTGCAAAATTATAAGTGAAAAAATGGTAAATATATTTCTAAATATCCCTACCCCTTGTCAGATTCAAACTTTATGCTGTAGAAAAGGGAGAAGGGCTATGTTTTGTGCTCTAATGATGCTAAAAAATGAAGGAAAAGAATTTTAATGTATGTAGTAGTAAATTCTATTAAAACATTGTCATTTCAAGCTATTACATAAGAAATGCTTATAAAAAATTCAAAGATGATGTAAATAATAATTAATTGTAGTATAAGCTACTACATGCATGTATCAGTATGTTTTAATAAAATAAAATGTATTTCAGCAATGCATTCTCAAGAAGGAGAAGTTTAATAAACCCTCCCCTCTTACACTGAACAACACATTGACATGTACTCCCAGGATGAACACTTTGCATTCACTAAGAGTTCCCAGGTATGATTATCTTAGCAAATCTAGTTAATATCTTAATATTTAAGTTATTTAGAACTTTTTAAAGATTATTAGAAAATATGAACTTTCTCAGAACTGCAGTTATTTAAACATTTTGCTCACAATTGTGTTTAAAATTTGGTCAGCAAACGCCTTTGAATCTCCATCTAATATGAAAGCTTTAGAATGCCTTCTTTTATTTCACAGCCCTTTAAAAATTTAAACTCAAGTAGTGTGCACTATTGTTAACAAAATGCTTCACATTTCTTTTAATTCAAATGTTATCAAACTTAGTATCTTTACATTCAAAGATTAAGCTGTGGACTTACAAACAATTTATTACACAAAGATTGATAAAAGCTGCATGCATTCAACTTAACCTAAGTATCTCCACAAAACATCACAAATTCAATAAACAAAATCTTTATTCCTTCAGTGCATTTTTAAATTTTAAAGCTTTGCTAAAATATGTTAAAAGAGGTTAAAAAAATATGATGTCTTTAAAAAACAATCAATAGTGTTTATACATGCACTAATACCAAGAATTTTAAAGATTTTCATTGGTTATCTTCTCTCGTACACGCATTAGTTCATTTCAACCACGTTTTAGCGGGTTATAGTTCATTTGATTACATATGTTTACAACGTTTTTCACACACGTGCAAAATAACCTATAGCCCTTCAAACCCAACATAAATAACAGCTTGATTAATATTTTAGTGTCAGTATAAATTCATTCAATTACATTTCGTCAAAGACTATTAAATATATACAAGTCTAATTATAGCACATTTTAATTCAAGTGCACTAGCTGCTCTCTGATTCATAATTAGAAAGCAAGCTTTAATTTTTCCGTGTATTACACAATACTAGCGTAAAATTATGTCATTAAACATGCAAAACATGGAGATATATTCGAATTAATGTAACATACTTACCGGAAACTCTATTGTAAAGAGTCCATTTCAGTATATTTAAATCAGCCATGCCACTATAAACGGATATGAAGTATTGATTTTTTAAAAGGTCAGAATAATATCCAACAGAAACATTTCATGTTTTGTTTACATAAAATCAAATGCTTTATTTTACGTTTACCCAAAACATTATACGATTACTTATCAACATTTAGCCGAGTAAATTTTCGTTTCAAATTTCATAAATCTAGATCTATATAAAAAGAACCAGTGCTAAATATAAATATTAAATATTAGCAGACGATATTGATGTAAGTTTTTGAAGCGTCATCATATTTAGATACAGTCTCATAATATGTTGTATTACATAGTACATGTATGTCCTTCTCCAACACAATGAATAATAAGTGTATCATACCGCGTTTTTATCACTTGAAGATTTCCTTTTAGGTCACCTGCGCCGAAAGCTCGAGTTTTCTGGTCACCCATTTTCAGGCGTCCGTCCGCCCGTCTCTCTGTAAACTTTTCACGTTTTCAATTTCATCTCAAGAACCACTGGGCCAATTTTTAACAAAGTTGGTACAATGCATCCCTAGGTAAAGAAGATTTTAAATTTTTAAAATGAAGGACCAAGCTCAATTTCAAAGGGGCTAAAAAAAGGCGAATATAGGGTGTGGTCATATATTTTTTTTCTCAAGAACAGCTGGACCAAAAAAACTGAAACTAATGTGCAAGCTTTCTGAGGTAGTGCAGATTGATTCTAAATTGTCCAAATCATAGCCCCCGGGGTAGGATGGGGCCACAATAGGGAATAAAATTTTACATTGGAATATAAAAGAAAAAAATCTTCTCAAGAACCACTAGACAAGAAAAGATGAAATTCAGCGAAAGATTCTTGAGGTAGTGTAGATTATAAATCGTTCAGATCATGATCCCGTTGGGTAGAGGGCACAATAGATATTACATAGGGATTTTTTAAAAAAATTTCTATACTCAAGAACAGCAAAGCTATGATTAATCATTTTAATGAGGTAACACCCTTTGCTCATTTTGATTTATTTTTGTTCAAATCAGGGCCTCAAAAGACGATCAAAATTTTACATAGAAATACATGAATAGAAGAAACATCTGGGAAGAAAATCTGATGCATAATAGTAGGGCCAAAGTGACTCAGGTGAGCGGTGTGGCCCATTGACCTCTTGTTACTTTTAAATCATTCTTTAACTAATATCTTTTCTGTGAATCTGCAAAGACAATTTCAAAGAATATTGATACAAAGCATCTGGAACTCTGGGTTTCATGGTCCACACAATCAGGTGTCTAATGGAGAGGTTTAAACCTCTTAAATTATTCAATCTCTAAAATCTGTTCATTTTTCCTTACATTCAACAAACAGTATGCATGATGATAACGAGTTATAATATCTAGCCCTTTAGCTAAACAGTGAACGCCATGCCCTTTAGCTGCATAGTGTAGGCTTCAGGGTTGGGAAAAATTTCAAAAGAAGTAGGTACTGTTTTGGCTTTATTGTGCCTTAAAAAAATAAATGTTTTCAAAAAGTTTTGAAATTGGCTTAAACATAAGTATAATATATGAATGGAATGGAATGATTGGAATAATTCAGAAAGATTATGATATTAACGTGGACGATTCTGGAAGGATGACGTCATTAATTTGCTACATTTCTAAATATTAAACAGAATAGACGCCAATATCACTCATTTCGGGGGGGGGGGTATTTTTTTTTTTAAAGAAATTGTTTTCATAGCCGCAACCCACTTCAATTTTCGGATATGTTGTGTATTTTTTTTTTTTTTTGGAAAAATCACAGTTGTTAAAATCTGAATTGGTAATGCATGTACTTCGTATCGTCTAAGTAAAGTTTTTAAGAAA